AACCTGAGTACGGTAGAGTCCTGATTAAAATATGTGGTGATGTAGTTAAAGGTTGTTTTCTAATGCATGTATGTAAGTAGGTTAATTATGATCGCCCACGGAACACTTGGTGTGTTACACTACCCCACTTCAGAGGGTTTGACAGAGTAGACAATATTACTGTGCTGTTAACCACTTACAGCTTCCTAGGTTTAAATCAATTATCTTTATAGATTAGTTTTTAATATCAATTATATGGATACAATAATTTCTCAGGGTTGAAGTTACCTTCAGTTGGTCTTTTCTTTCTTTGGCATACATTTCTCCATTCAGCAGTCAAAATTAGAACTGCTGGCACTGGTATTTTTTATTACATTGTATAGTCAATAAAGGAGTCATGGGAGGCAGTTTTTCAGTGAGTGTTGTTTGCTGACAGCATTTCTCTGTGATTTGGTTACCAGCTTCAACTTCAGGTCTTCTGCAGTCATTACTGGCCCCATCACTGCTCTCATTTCTGATTTCTTCTTTGTCTTGGCTTATTTCTGACATTTACCTTTCTTGAGTCCTGATTCCAAAATCTGTCTAGGTCTGGTTCAAGTGTCGTGTCCTTGTGTGTTGGTGTTCTCTCCTGTATCTCTACCTCTCTTGTTTGTTTCAACACAGGATAAGTTGAAAGTACCAGGAAAAGATGCCTTATTTTTGTTCTGACTGGTACTATACTACTAAAACAGCATGCTCCACAAACTTATTTAACTACCTCTGTGTAGACACATGTGTTCAGAGAATTTATCTGTGTCCTTGTTGAATGAATATATACATGAAGAAGGTTTTCAAAAGCCTCTTGCTTGTCTATGTCCATTTGGATGGGTCTGTAAAGAGCAATAATACAAGGTACAAACTGATACTCAGGCCTTCTGCCACATTTCAATACCAATTTGCACATATAAGGTACAGCTAATATTTTCTTAAATTGACATAGAATATTCTGCTCTAACATTGTTTTAGAAATATTTTAGTCATTTCTTCTTCAGAAATATCCCCAAATTTACTAGGCAGTTGTAAAGGAAAACTTAATTTTAGCAAATAGTTAATTAGGCCAGTTGAGAAGATAAACTTAATTTTGGCAAATACTTTAGCAGCTGGAAACAGGAACTTAAAAGAGCAAATAATGGGCAACAAAGGGCTTATGACTTTGTCAGTACTGTGTCTCAGCTTGGTGCAGGGCTTTTTTTAATGTTGTTTTAAAATATTCATAAGTAGAATTTGTTGTACGGTAATAGGATAATTGTATGCCATTAAAATTACACTATTCTCAGTCTTAATGTAGAGGACTGAAGTGCTTAAAAGTTGGAATTTCCTTAGTATATTAGATTAAATTTAAATTTTAAACATAGCTTTTTGTTTCTCTGTAGGATTGTTGTCTCAGTGTTTACTAACTTTAGTTGGAGCTGTTTTCAGTTACAGGCAAGTACAAAAATGTAGACTGTAAAATGTTTAAATTTGAGATTATTAAGGATTTTTATTTGCAATAACATGACTGTATCAAAACTAATCTTGGCAGTGTCTATTTAGACATTTGAAATTGGTTACACCCATCTTTTGGCTGGATAATACAGTATCTTAGTTCTTAGGAGTGAAGCATATTTACAGGGATGATGCAGCCAATTTCTCTGTTGCTGCATCATCTGTTTCAAATGACTTATTACCCACATGTTCATTCCAACACGCTGGTTACAGCCTTTTGAAAGTCGTAGTCCTTCACCATAAAATGCTATTTCTTCTGCAGACAAGGAAATATTTTGCAGCTGCCATAGATGTCGCAGCCACTGACTTGCAGGCATCAGGAATGAAGCTTTGAGTGATCAAATCTTGATGAACTGTCTGCTAGTTTGGTTAGAGACTATAACACAATACTGCCATTTTAGGAAATACTAAAAAAACCAAAGCATAAATAAATAAAGCATTTAAACTTCTTTTTTTCTAGGGTAGAAGTATTTTTGGTGTGAATACTGCATCTGAAAAGTGTAGTCTGTACTGGAGTAGGACAGGTCCGTTTGGGACAATATCCTGTCATGCATAAGGAAAGGCTGTGTAAGGATGAGAGGTTTTTGGGTAGGACAGTGAAACCTCACTACAGCATCCTCCCAGCCCCTCAAAATGCACAGTGCATGCACTTTCTGAGCTGTAAGTGATGTCAGTGCATGTAACAGGATTGATAATAAGCATTCATGAAAGAAAAGAATTGCTTTTTGAACCCTGTGTAACCATAGCATTTCATTGGAAGAATTATCATGACCTAAATTTACACTCTGTAAAGAGCCACTTCTTGTGATGACTTTGCATGTGTCACATAGTAATTTCATTTTCTATAGAAAAGGCAGTGAAGTGTCTTTCATCCTTGTATTGTTTAGAACGCTACAGCCAGAGTACTTGAGACAGCAGTTTATTCAAAATATTGCAAGCTTTCATGAACTTTTTGGGGTGCAATGTAATTGTCCACATACTGTCTATATGACTAATAAGTGTGCAGTTCCATATCAAATTTTTTATGCACTTTTTTTATTCTGATATTAAGCAACTGTTGCTGCTGGATCCTCTTTTCACCAGTTTTGCTATGCAGATTGCAGCATAGCTCTGATCAAAGGCATTGGTTTATTCTAAAGAATACTTTAAAATAAAATATGTATCTAGGTTGATGGTTTCTTGCAGTTGAGATACCAACTGTTTCAAAAGAACAACATTATTAAGTTTGATAGAACTGGTGATGGACTTTTAACTACAAATGCGCTGCCAAGCTGTGTGGCAGTGATTGCTTTGTATAATGCTTTTTAAAAATTATTTCACATAGCTTAATTTAATCTGTTTGTTGTCATGCTTTATCATTTGTAGGAAGTTTGGAGTGCTGGTTTATTTTTCTCTAGCTCTAGTTGCTGACCTACTTGTCTGTTTTGTAAATAAAAATAGTTTTCCTATTTTACAGTCAGTCTACCTGTGTAAACTACAACATGGTTTTTACTAAGAAATTTTCAATTTTCAAATATTTTCTGTATAATCTTGGAGACTTTCATATGAATTTCAAATTAGAGCAGGAAGGCCAAATGGTGCAAATGTAATTAGGATAAACAGATGGGATATTTTAGAAGGTAGTAAAATATAAACAGAATGAGGAGTTCTGATACTGAACAGCATGCTTGCTGTCAAACATCCAGTTAATTTACTTGTTAAAAGCTGGAATGTAGGCTGGCTGTTTGTGATACTTCCTTTTCCTCTCTTAAAGGGAACTGAAAAATGTAATTTGATTGACCCAGTTTATCTTATCATTTTAAACTAGATTAAATTTAAAATAAAAATACTAATTTCCTTTAAAGGTGCTGAATAATCCATTTTAATTGTTAAAACATGTATTTAGTAACTACATCACATTAAGTTTTATTTCAGAAAGTTCTTATTGTAGATTTAATGTTTTTAGTTTCTAGGAATAGAATATGTTAGAGATGCTGTATTACTTCAGTTGAGTCAGATAACATTAAGTGGACATATGTTTCACTTGAGTGTGTTGTGGAATGATAATTCTGTTTTAAATGTTATTATAGAATACTGCTGCAATGCCTATTTACTTTATTATTCAGTAGCTCTTTAGCACATTAAATCATTCTAGATTCTTCCATGTTAATTGCATTACTTTTTTTCAATTGGATTGGCAGCTCTGCTGGTACATTTTACCACCTTTTGACTGTTTTGTAAAAATCTGCTTTGTCATGTCACATGCTGTTTTGACTTAAACTTAGTTATCTTTACATGTTTTACTAATTTGTGATATCTCCTTGATTGTAGTTTGACTGATGACATAGTGCTTGCATTGTCATTTTATTCAGTGTTTCCATTTTAACCCTCATTTTGAGGACCTCAGCTGTTAGTATTATTCAAGAGTATGCTCAAGTCCACTACAGACTTATGTCTACTTAGAGCACATTTGCTAACTTTGCAGAAATTCACTAATTGACATATAAATAGAAGAGAAATGCCAGCTATTTGGTATTGAGAGAAAAGCTGGCTGGTTGCTTTTCATTTTCTTTAGCTTCCCTTTCAATGAATACAGTGTGGTTATGAATGAATGAAAGAATGAAATAATTGCTTTGGCTTGCATTTTCTTTAAGAGAGATTTGGAATACTCTTAAAGCTTTTTTCAACTGTTAGCCATTGAATTGCTCTGAAGAGAAATTTAATCATATTTTTGTCCAGTTTCAAGTTAATCATATTGTGTGAAGAAGTTTTCTGTAAAAGATTTTATCCATTTTATGACATTTTAAATAGCTATGGGTTTTCTCTTCTCTTATGGAATATATTGGATCTCTTATTGATAAATAATGGTAAAGTTTTGTAGGAATGCTTGTTTTGGATTTCATACTTACAGATAACTTCTAATTCGCTCATTTTGCTCTGCTTTGTTTGCAATACTAAATGCACACTGTTAAATTTCCAAAATAGATGCTTTATTGTGACAAACTGAGATTAAATAATAAGCAGAAGTTCCATTTATTTAAAGCTCCTCTGATTTGGTGCTGTACAGAGGACTTGAGCTTAAAGTCACGTGAGGTAGTTCTTTTTCACAGGAAAAGGTAATGACACACGTGCAGGTTACTTGCTGTATTTTGTGAATGTTTGCTGCACTGTTTGTTGGTTGTGATAGTGAAGCATTATTGTAGCAATTATCTTGATAATCAGTGGTCAAATGCTAAAAGCTTTCTGACAACTTGACATACAACTTTGGCATTAGCTAGCTGTTTGTTCCTTTTGCAGAGGGTTACCAATTAAATCTGCCTAGTTGCATGAAGCAGAGCTTGAGAGTATGCAAATCTGAAGCCTCTGGCTTCCTGTGATTGCTGGATTCAGTACATGCTATTGAGAATGCTGTATTTTCAGAGGCTTTTTGTATTCTGCTCACAGTGTTTGCTGAGCAGAAACTGTGGCTAAAAATAACTAAAATGAATTTCTCTGTCTCTCTTTCTTTCTCACTGCAGGATGACGTAGCTTTGCCAAGGATTTATCAGCTAAGCAGAAAATGAGCTTAACATCCTGGTTTTTGGTGAGCAGTGGAGGCACCCGACATAGGCTGCCACGAGAAATGATTTTTGTTGGAAGAGATGACTGTGAGCTGATGTTACAGGTAATTGCTTCAGCCTTCCATGTGCAGCTGCTCAAACCATGAACTTAATGCACCAGCTCCATGCATTCCTTTTGAAAAAGAAATTCCCCAGATGTTAGGGAGCAATTGTTTTGAAGAATCTTTTGTGTCCTTAGAAAAAAAAAAAAGTTTCAATGTATTGCTGTTAATCATGCAATTAGTGCTTAAGTACAGAGAATCACATTTTCTTCATATAAATCAAATGCAGAATGCCAGGATAGAAGATGAAATACATTTTGCAATATGACCAGTAAAGTAAGTAGACTGTGTTCCATAAAATGTGATAATGTTAAGAGAGCTGGATGCTTTTGAAAGGAGCCTTCTTTTTTTGGCAGCTTGTAATCTAATTTAGTCACATGATTTGATGTAATTCTATCCCTATGCCCTGATTGTGTTGTACAAAGGAAAATGAAATTTGTAGAGAAGAGTATTTCTCAGTCGCTAAGGAAGTTGAATGACTCAATTTAAATAGAATTGAAAATACACAAGTCTAAATAGTTTGATCCTTCAGTAACTTCCTCAACTTTGAGGATCCCACAGTGTGTAGCTGTGTTGTTATGGAGCCATATTGCTTGCACTTTGCCCTGTCAAATCTGTAGTCCTCTGACCTGCCTTCTCCTATATTTTTTTTAATGACTGATGGTAGTACTTTGGGAGTTTCTTCTTAAATTTTTGTTGTAGAGTGTAGAGCTCTTAAGAAGATTGAGCTTGAAAACTAATATTCTCAACCCTTTCTACCATTCAATAAAATATTTTGTTTTGGAGTTTTGGTCCCAAAAGTCATGTATGCAGCCATTATTGGCCAAATTAGAGTATTACTTGCAAATGAAGTGCTTAGAGATGTAATCCTACATTTATTACTCAGAATGTAGTAGCTCTAGTAAATTGCATTTGGCTCTCAGCCTCAGAAGGCATTCAGATGTTTTATTGGTGATATTAGAGTACTCTTAATTTCTCTTTAAAAACAGATAGGATGTTGTCTTGGTAATTTAGGTGGGAGGTATTTAAAAAACCCAAAGAAACAAGTACACAGATAAATCCACCAACATCCAAAACAACAACAAAATAAAAGCAACCAAAAATCCGCACCCCACTGGTTCCTGCCCAGTAGGTCATAATCCAAAAGTATTTTTATTTAACTAGTAACTTGTTTTAGAAGACTGTTGTCTGTAAATAAGGGAGCATCTCCTTTCTTCTCTGCTATGCCATCCATAGTAGATCAGTCCTTAGAGTGAAGCATTTATTCTTTTGTGTTACAGAATTTCAACTTCAAAGGTAGCTCCCTCTTTGGTTAATACTGTGAATAGATTTGAGTTATTTACAAATGTTATTTGTTGTGTATTTGCTTCAGAGTTAGTGAAAAAAAATCAAGGGGCCTGAGGATTTCAAGAACATTCTTTTTAGCCTGCTGCTATGTTAGGTCTGCATGCCAGCATGACTGTGACACCACATAGTGCTGCAGGGGGAGGAACCCACCAAGAGAGAAGCTAATAATGTGTTCTTGTTCTGTGTGTATAGCTCTTTGTGCAAGACCTTCCTTTCCACTCTTGACAGCTTGGTTGATCTCTTACTGCAAAGCATGTGGACAATGCATGATAAAGAAAGCAGAATTTAATGCTTTTATTCATAATTGCTTGACTGAAAATATATTATAAAGGCTTTAATGAAAATAATTTTGACTCATGCTTGATAGACCTCAGATCTCTACCTGTAAACTGTGTTGTTTTAAAAGGTTTAGTTCACATCTGGTAATACAAATCTGACTTTTTTTGTAAATATGTTCAAACATACTGTGAAGTCTTCCTGTTTAGCTAACTGTTCCATTGCATCAGCCTGCTTGTGGATAAATACTACATTTCCCCCTTCTTTCACCTTTATGGTTAGAAATCTTTTTGAATGTTGTTGGAGAAATAATTTCCAAGAAAAAGAATAAATCTTCATTATTCACAATATCAAAATTATTTGCAGAGAAGAATGCATTTATTTTCTGTATTCTAAATATTTTCTTAGTAGTCTGGATTGAATTGAAGAATATCTATCTGAAATAACACCAGTTACAAATTTATTTTAACTGAGGATGGCGTTTTCCTCTTCATATTCCTATGGCTTTACTGCAGTTATTCTGTGATTCTTATTTCTGCAGACATGTGTAAATCTTTGTACTGGATCTGGCTGGATGGTAGGGGGATTTTTTTTAATAGAAACCATTATGGTACTGCTTTGGATTTGTGGCCAGAGCACTGTTGATAACACACCACTCTTTTGGCTGTTGCTGAGCAGTGTGTGTGCAGTTTGAAGGCATTCTCTCTCACTCTGCTCCTCCTACACACACTTGACTGGGGGAGCGCACAAAATGTGGAGAAGGGGCACAAGCAAGGACAGCTGACCCAAAGTGACCGAAGGGATATTCCGTGACAAATCATGTGCTGTGCTTGGCAATGAAATATGAGGGAGGGGATTTGGGGAAGATACCCACTGCTCAAAGACTGTCTGGGTACTGACTGCTTGTGGGAGGTGGGAAGTGATTGCCTTCTCATCATCTGATTTGTTTTACTTCTTCTTCCTTCTTCCTCTTTGCTGCTGAAACTTGACCCATGAGCTCTTTCCTTCTGCTCTTCCTGTTGTATCCCACATCCAGCTGGGGCAGCAGAGAGTGAGTGAGCAGCTGTGTAGCATTGAGCTGCCAGCCAGGGCACCACAGTCTTACCAGAGGGAATTTTAAAAGCCCTTACATTTGAATGGAAAGCTGCAATAACAAAGCCAAAGGAAAAAAGGCATTCAAAAGACTTGCACAGTCTTTGCACCTGTAAAGATCAGCTGAAATTAATAAAAAGTCCAATTATATGTAAGTGATCTGAACCTGAGGAGAACTATGATGTTCTGCACAATTTCAAGTGTTTCTGTAAAAGCCACAGAATTGAGTAATCATTCTTAGCATTTCAGATGATGTGACACAGTATCATGAAGCTTTGAGGATTTTTTAATGTCCTTTCTGTTTTAACTTATTTTTAATAGGATGTAGCACATGAAGATAATTTAAAAAAATATTAGTAGTACAGTATGTATTTGAATAACAACATTGAGAAAAGTTCAAAATTTTTTTTCAATAGCTTGGGTAAAAATACAGCAATTCTTGGTGCAGTGTTCCTCTTGAGTGTGGAAAAATGTAATGTGTGTTTGATATTGTAGGCTCAGCAGAACATGCACATCAATGAATTTCATTGTATTGAGATTGTTTTCACTTGAAAGGTTACGAAGTTAGTAGAAAATGAACCGTGTTGCTGTGTCTTCATCTGCCATTAAAAGCACTTAGCTGATGTAGTGTATTAGTGCAGCTTATATTGGCAGGAAACTTGTTCATTTGTCTGTCTCCTCCTTATTCTCCACTTTGATATCCTGCCCCCTCCCATTATACCCCTCAGAAATGCAGAGCAAAATAAAAAGTCTAAACAGAAAATAGTAAGTATATAGAGAAGAACACTAATCTCACTTCTTTGGGGAGAAAGCAAAGGGGTCATAAGATTAAATGGACAGGAAGAATGAGAAAGTAGATTGAAAATAAGGAAAATAATAGAAGCAAGTCTCAAGAAATGGAAAAGGAGTCAGGTGATAACTATGGGATTACAATAAGAGAAAACATTTCCTTTAGAGTACTGGTTGTGTGTTCTGATGCCTTGCACTGGCCAGTGCACTTGATAAGGCAAGACTCCTAGAACTGACAGACCACAAATGCTGGTACACAGAAGTCATTGAAGTCTCAGACAGAAATGTACCATTCTCTGTGCAGTACAGTTCTGAAAAATGAGTTGAGTAGCAAGGATAGAAGATGCAAACCTGAAATTAGGAGCTATGCTGGTGGAAGGAATTTGCTGCTATGCAGTCATGTTGTGACACTGCACTAGCAGAATTAAGAGTAAACATAAGATCAAGTGTGGGCTGATGGAGAGGATGAGCTGTGGTCTCCATTCTCTTGGGAGCTCTTGAAGATGTCCAGATGCTGACCATATGCATGCATGAAGGAGACACATCCAGCCCCACCTCCCTTGCTTGCCATCAGCACCTCAGGCTGCAAACACTTGGCAAGGAGTGAGTGCTGAAAGAGGGACTTGGCTGTTAGGGAGCTGCTGGGCTTGGATGAAATAGTAGCCAGGATTGCTCCTCATCTGTGTGGTGAAATAAAGAATTCATGAAATAAATAAATGGATACTGAAATGCTTAAGGAAGGACTGAGAAAGTCAGAACTGATGGGAATAGTAATTCAGGAACTGCTCAGACATTTAGTGAAGAGGCTTTAGCTAATTGGTTCAGGAAATTGAGATCAAGGAGAAACACTTGGAATGCTTGTATACTATGGTAATTATCTCAAATGTGTGACAGGAAATGGTGTGTTTGAGAGAGAACAGCAACACCCTGGAATCATAGTCATGTATTGAAAGATGCATGTAATTAAGGGGGGAGAGAGAGTAAGAAATAAAGTGCAGATGATAATATTAGATTAAACATCAGTGATGCTAGAGTGGATTGAAAAAAACCTAAAAACCTTTGGATGAGATCTATCTGGATCTGACTTATCATATTTAGGGAAACATTAAGAAAATAATTATTTTGAATTAAATTTAGGATTCTGCTATGGGTACCTGGAGTTGGGTTAGAGATTATCCTTTTCATATGTGGAACTATCTTTTCTATATAATTTGAATAAATGCACTATGTAGAAAGAAAATAATCACACTGTTCTAGGAAGTAGCCATAACTGCCTCATGTGGTTTTCAACTACCTTATTTTATTTTCTTTAATATGTTTTAGTCACGGAGTGTGGACAAGCAACATGCTGTACTCAACTATGATGCCTCTACAGATGAACACCTGGTGAAGGATTTGGGCAGCTTGAATGGGGTAAGTTAACATCAGCAATAGATAGCTCCCCACGGGGTTCTATATCTTTCTTTTGGGATTTCTTCAAGCCATTATTGATTGTACATTAATATCTTTTTAATGCAAGTCTGGAAATTTGGGAACATTCGAAAGGAAAGTGTAGTCTTTGCAGGGGTTTTCCACTGCATGTTTTATAAAGGGCTGCTGTTAATTCCAGTGATAAGAGGGCTTTGGCTATAGGAAAAGCTCAGAACAATAAAAAGGAGTGTGTTATACTTACGTATTTCAGAATTAAAAAAAAAAAAAATCTTGACTGTAATGTCTAAAAGCCCTGACATATTTCAGTCTCTAAAATGTGCTATTATGATATGGATTTTATTTCACATGCTATTCCTTTTTCTTTTCTTATAGTAGAGAAAAGAATGTTAAACTGTATTTCCACTGTACATATGTGGGGAAAATAATTATGCAATAACCATTTTGTATGAAAATTGATTTAACTAATGCTGTATTTGCATTTAGTTTTTCAGAATAATTTTTATTAAAAATCTCTATGAATAATTTGTGTCAAGTGATTGCAAACTAATACAGGAAAAATCCAAGTTATGGGAAATGTAAGGTTTCAGATGGCATGTTATGTTCTAAGGCTTTTCTAGGAAGTGCATATTCAGAATTGTAGCTAAGCATCACTTTTTATAAAAGTTTTTTAATATATAGCAAATTATTAAAAACAGTAACTTTGTCATCATTTTGTAGCCCTTTAGATACTTCTTTATGACATTTTTATTTGCACTTGTTATGGCTGTTATTTTGTAACTTTAAATGTTTGGCTCGGTGGTGAATAAAATCATGAGTTCATCTGTGACTGCCTATTTGAAAAATACTTAGAAAGCTACTGATAGTGAATAGTTTTGTCAAGTGCTTAAATAAATAGAAGATGAACTCTTCATGTTACTGCCTTTTGATCTTGAGATGCATTTTGAAATAAAATTCTGTCACTGTCTCTATTAGCTTTCCTGTATTTTAAGGTAACTAATTCAGCCTTCCCAAGAGTCAGTCTCAACTCCACGTGAAACCATTGAAGGGCTATATCCTTTGAACAGTTGTAGACATACAAGGACTTTAGTCCTTAAATATTTAATATACCTCTGTATTTTCAAAGTCAGTGTGCTGTTTCAAGGCAATGATCAAAAATAAGTTCAGCACATAGAATTTTTTTGCTGATACATTTAATTTTATTCCCTAGTTGTGTAACTCCTGTAGTCAATGGGCATACCTTCAGATTTTTGTTGCTATGTCACAAAACTGGAATTGAATAGAAATATATGTTAAAAGGTCTTCATTCAGCTCCTTTTTTTGTCTCTGATAAAGAGCTTTCAGTGATTTGCTTCACTTGATCTAATTCATTCTCAAGTTTGAGGTGAAGCTTCAGTTGCTTTAGAGCTGTTTACTCAGAGACATCAAAGGAACTCTTTCTTCCCACTGTTTTGGGGCAAGGAATATTAAGTCTCAGGAGTTCAGTCCTTTCTCTTTGTCTTTACAGCGTTTTTCTTACTATCACTTTCCCACTGTGCTTTTCTTTCATAACTCTGCTTACCTGGTTTCAGGTTAATGAAGAAAAAGCATTATTTTTGTAACACCATACTTAATTGTGTGGCAGAACAATGGCTCAGTACCATATGGTGAACTAGGTAATAATTCTTCTAGTCTAGCTGCTGTTTCCACTGAGAACAACACCTCCCTAGCAGCCAAGTGCCTCTTCTAGTGCTTTAGCAGCTTCTCCCCTGTCTTATTTTGCATATTTCATCAAAATATTTATTTTGCATCTCTCCAGTTGGTCCCATCTCTTTTGAGAACAGATACATACTTTTCTTAGTATAAAGGGTAACTCCATTCCTGGTATAATGCACTTTAAACACACATGATAATTCAGAGTGTGAGGGGAGATGGCTAATGGCAATATTTTGATTTTGAGTGTTATGAGTGTTATAATTTCACCAACTGAACTATGATTGCACCTGATGCCCTAATGCCTGAATATTCTTATATGTATGGTTGATTCACACTCAGTTCGGTGAAAAGGTTATAGGAGTCTTTTTTGTGGATTTCTAAATCTAGAAGTCTTTATTCTGGATGCCTAGATTTGGAAAAAAAAGGCAAAAATAAATTGTATTTCTGATAGTTTATTGTGACTCATTCTGGACACTCCTGTTTTTATTTGTTTTTCCATACAAAAAAAAAGATGAAGGAATTTCTCTTTTCTGAAGCAAATGTGTGCAGTTGCTAGTATGTAATTAGTATTTCCCTAGTATCAGTATAATTCAACTGTACTTTCTCCTTTGACTTGTGAACTCTAAAACATACTAGAAGAAGTGTTAGCAATCCATGGCCCTGATCAGTTAAGTTCTTCTCAGGAATATTTACAGGATAGCAAAGTCCTTTCACACTGATGTTTCAGGACTGGATTCTGAAAAGCTTAGCAAACTTTATGAAGGCTTAAAGACAGTTGACTTTCACTATTTAAAGAATAAACTTTATAAATCACATGAATTGAATGATTTAAAGAGGCAAAGGATTATTTATTTACATAGTAACTAGTTTTTTCAAGCTAGCTTTGTCTGGCATCCCAAAGCCAGACAAAAGCATGTGATGAGATTTTAAAGCTCCAGTGGCAGAGTAACTAAGACTTGGTTGTTTTATGCTGTCACTTCAGTCCTGAACATGAGGCTGTCAGTAGACTGCACACACAGCCTTTGGAGTTCTCTGCTTTGGGCATGCTGTGCATGCACATGAATTTCAGAACTCTGACCTGGGAGGAAAAATTCATACATGCACATAGACATAGATGTCTGCAAGGTGGCCTAAATTCTGTTGGTTCACTGAAATTCAGAGTGCCTTGAGGATAGTCTTCACAGAGGTTTATGCCCTGAACTCTGAAAATGTTAAAGTGAAATAAATATGCCTGAAACATTACTGAAAGCTTCATGCTTACAAACCAGTGAATAGTTGTACCCTTTGTTCTTATTTCCCATGGAAGATATTTTCTAAGTTTTTAAAATAATGAAATAAACATGCTTTTCCTTTAGGAAAAGAAAATTAAATGGATGATTCTCTTATTGTTTTGGGGAAGGGGGTTGTTTCTCTCTAATCACAGTTCATTCAATACTAAACTCATGAGCAAAACAGTAATTTAAATATTTGGATTTTTGACTTATTTAATTATTCAAGTGTTTCCAACTTCAGAGTGCTTTTAAAATAACATATTTCAACTGTTTCGTTCTTTAGAAACATGTACATGTTGTAAAAGTTTTAAGTTAGAAGTGGGGTGATCCTGTAGCATTGCAATATACTGAATTCTTACCACAGATTTTTTAGTGTTACTCAGATGCACAAACTTGGTCCGTGTTTTCTTAAGTCCTTTGACAGTGATTAGAAATAAGCTGCCTCAGTCCTCTCATATCCAATGCTCATCACAAATGTGATGATAAATCAATTCTGGCAGTTAATTTGGATTGAAAAAAGCAAATTACAAGAAAAATAGTAAGTGGAGGTGCTAATTCAAGGGAACATTAATCAACACTTCCATGAATATTCCTAACAAGATTAAATGTGCAAGGAATTTTTCAAGGCCAGTGTGCAGCTTGTTAATCAATGGTGTTTTACCTTCCTTTTGATATGATTTGTTAAACAGCTGGCAATTTGAGCTTATAGTTTCCTTGTGAATCAGCAGTAGAAAATTTGTGGTGCTGAAGACTTTTTTATAAAAGTAGTAAGATGATTTAATTTTGTTGTTTTGGAATTTAATGATATTCCTTTCTGTCCTCATTTGTTTCTGCAGACATTTGTGAACGATGTGAGGATTCCAGAACAGACATACATCACTCTGAAGTTAGAAGATAAATTGAGATTTGGATATGATATCCTTGCCATAAAAATGTAGTGTTGGGATGCACTTTACTTGTTAGAAGTATGGTTGTTTTAAGTGTTCTCATTGCTACAGAAATGCCTATATTTGAGAAAATCTCAGGGTTTACAATATTCTACCTTGGTCTGAACTACTGATAAAGTACATTTCATTGTCTCTCACTGCCAGGAACCTCAACTTTCAATTATGATTTAGAATATGATGTGTATCTTCTGTGTTGCTAAAAAGTACTACTTTTCTTTGAGGCAAATACACAAATATTTGTATCATATGCAGTTGTATACCAGCAGATAAGACAGCAATTAATTATTCAGCAAACTACTGAATGAAAAAAAAATACTTGTATTATTAAAACTCTAAGGTATCTACTCAGTGTTCTGTTTACATATAGTAAATAACTTAATTTTCTTTGATGAATATGATAGTGCACAGTATCCTAACATGACATATTTTGAAAGTTATCACTATTCTAGTGGCATAATAATAGGCTGCATATTTGTTGCTTTTCTGTAAAATCCTCTTGTGAATTCAGAGTTTTTTCAGAATTTTCCTTATAATTTCCTACATACTAACCTTTTTACTGTGGTCAGGGGAGAGATGAGAGTCCCTGAAGAAGCACTTAAGGTAACAATGAGCAGTTTCTGGATGTTTTTTGTCATTGTACAGTTATTATAACATAGAGAGGTTTTTTTTCCCACTCTTTGTGTTTTATTCTCTGTTTATTGTCATGTAGCATGAAAAATTCTCAAGCCAACTCCAATTGTCCCAAAAATCTTCAGAGGCAGAAGGATCGAAACAAAGCAGCTCCAAAAGTTCAGAATCCAAGGTAACAGATTCCACAGCTGAAGTGCACCACAAAACTACTGAAGCACTGAAATCTGAAGAAAAATCAGTGGGTAAGGTTATTTTTTTGTTACAGAAGCACAAAAACTTGGAAAGGATGTAATTTCCTTCAGTAGGATGATTGTGGAATTCTGTAGACAGTAAAAATTTCACATATATATTTATTTAACCATAGTTTAGGTGTAAATAATATTTTTTGGCAGTTAATTTCTACCTTTTTTACAGTAACATCCACACGTTAAGAAAATTTTTAAACAGAGATTTGATTAACATTTGTAAGATTTTTGCCTGTCTCTTTGCACAAGTCACAAACTTGTAGCATTTGTGGCAGGAAATTGTTATTTTTTGCAGTTTCAGTGAAAGTATTTGTTCAGAAACAATTTGTACTTTTTACCATTACCAAGTGCATTGTTTTTCATTTGGTTGGTTTGGGGTTTTTTCCCTTTTTATTGGGCAGGAGTTCTGTTTGGTTTTTTTTGCAGTTCCTAGCGTTCTTTGTTTGATGTGTCAGGATATAACCTCAGTGTTCTATTGTGGTTTAAAGATTTCTAGGTACTATAGTTTCAGGCTTGTTTCTACACCATCATTCATATTTATTTAATGTGTTACGGTGGCTCTGCTGTGGTTGACTTAAATTTGTGTGAGTTGTGCTGCCCCCGGTGTGGGAAGGATTTGGACCTGTTGGAGTGAGGCCAGAGGAGAGCCAGAAAGATGAGCAGAGGGCTGGAGCAGACAGGCTGCAAGATGGAGTTGCTCAGCCTAGAGAAGGAAAGGCTCCAGGGAGACCTCAAACAGCCTTTCAGTACCTAAAGGGAACTGGTGAAAAAAGAGGGAGAGCATATTTTACACAGGCAGTTAGTGATAAAAGACTAGGTCTGATGGCTTTAAACTGAGAGAGGAGAGATTTTGATTAGATGTTAGGAAGACATTTTTTACTATGAGAGTAATCAGCCACTGGAACAGGGGATCCAGAGAGTTTGTGGATGTCCCATCCCTGGAGGTGTTCAAGGCTTTGAGCAAGCTGGTCTGGCAAAACCTGTGGCAGGTCCCTTCCAACCCAAACCATTCTCTGATGAACTTCAGCACAAGGCTTGCTGAAGTGTAGTAGATATAACCAAAAGAATGAGAAAGGGATCAGGTATTGTTGTTTCCTTAATATGGAACTGTCTAGGTCTGATTTCTAACCAAATCAATGCTCACCAGGTTTGTTTAGGTTTCATCTGTTCTTCCAGGAGACTCACTTCAAATAATTCTCTTCCCTACATACAGGATTCTGTGGTATACTGAATTAACCTGTTTGTTTTGTTGTCTAATCCAGCATCTTGTTAAAGGTACCTAAAGTAGCACAGTGGGGGAGTTTTATCCTCACCCTCTGTTTTTCATTTCACTCTTCCAAAAATAACAGTCAGCAATAGGGATTTATATTTGAGTGCAACTCTCAGAAGCTTTTTAGGGATTGATTCTCTCTGTTGCTATATAAATGCACATCTGCTCATTATGGCTAATGCAGTGCACAGGAACAGAACTATGGGATGGTTTGGGTTGGAACAGAGTTTAGACATTACTTAGGTTGCACCCCCTTGCCATGGCCAGGGACACCTTTCACCAGACCAGGTTGCTCAAAGCCTCATCCAGCATGTCCTGGAACTCTTCAGGGATGGAGCATCCACAAATTCTCTGTGTAACCATCAAGGTTTTTTTTTAAAAAAATAATATTGACTATGGCTTAATGCTGTGTAAAAAGAAAGTACTTAAGGTCTTAAAATCATGTTGAAACATTTGGCATGGCTATGAAATAATCTTTGGAGTGCAAGTGTATAAAATACTGAAAAAAATGTTGATATTCCTAATCAGAAAAGTAATAGACAAGGTTCTAAGATAGACTTTAACATATGATGTTTTATTATATAAGGACTCTCTAAAATACATTCAGAACATCTGTATGACACTAGAATACCTAAATCTGTAGGGTGAGGTATTCTTCCAAAAGATCAGATCAAACCTAACTCAGCCAATTCGTCATCAGGTTAGAAATCTCAATTACATCAATGTTTTTTTTCTTACTTAATTTTTGCATTTAAATATATTTAACATGTGTATAGCACTTTTAGTTGTACTAAACTAAACTTAGTTAAATAATTTAACTGATGCCTTTAAAAAATTCCAACCTGTAAAATTGATTGTGCTTAGTAATGTTTTACACACAAGGTAACTTTCAGCACTCTGTAGTAGCTGTCAGCAATTTGGAACCTTGGCTACATTGCAAAATTTGATCAGTTTTTCATGCAGTGAGTTCAGATTTCATTGAAAGGTCAGTGTGGGTAAGAATGAGAATCTTCTGACAGAAATAGCAGCAAACAGCTTCTAGGAATGTTCTCCTGTCTTGATGACTTCCAACTGAAAGAAGAAATAATATTTACAGACATATCAGGGTAACAATAAGAGATGGTGGCTGCCTTTGATAAACATTTGTGCCAGATCAGGTCATTAGTAAGCTTTTATATTTAGAACCCAGATCAGTTGTCTTTTTGATAAACATTTGTGCCAGAAATTTTGATCAGGTCATTAGTAAGCTTTTATATTTAGAACCCAGATCAGTTGTCTGGCCTCCAAGTTTGTTGTGTATTTAGGCAAATGCATGCAACCATTTCACTTCAGCTTCCAGGAGAGATGATCCAAGCAAATTACTTTCTCTTCATGTGATTTTAACCAAAATATCACAGCTAAACAGAAAAGTTATTTCTTCTGCTTTGGGCTGACTTTATAGATATTTCTGCCATGCCTCGTGGGACACCTTTGTACGGACAGCCAGCCTGGTGGGGTGAAGATGAAGCGGATGAAAAAGGTGGTTGTAAGCCAGATAGCAAGCATGAAGAAAAAATGCCTGAGACAGGGGCTTCAGGTAAGTGTGTTGTCGTATTTTTGTTATTTTTTTCCCTTTACTGAACTGCTTATATTCTGAAATGGGGAACTAAATGGATGTTTGGAAGTTGCACAGTTTGCATAAATAAAAGCCTATTAAAAGGTGAGGTAGTTGAAGAATATATTTTTGTGAGAAACCATGTATTTAGAGAGATCAGTTTCACATATAATGTGTCAGTTTTCTAACATAAAACATAATTTTCTATCAGTAAGTATAGCAAATAACATTGCCTGAACCAGTGTGTCTTTTTTTTTTTTTTTCCGTTTTATCCATATCTGTCATTTTATATGCATAGGGGTATTTTACTGAAAAAATTTCTGAAAATTGTGGTTTTTATATTTGTGTGACTTTTAGCTATATAAGGTTATCTGTACTACCATTCTCTTCTGTAATTCAGTAAAGCTGTATTAGTGGGAATTGCATGTCATAGTTCTTGAAGTAAAGATTTGTGTAGTCTAAAGTTAAACTGGTAATGTTTATTCCCCTGTAATACAGACCTTTTTATTAGTTAGCTTGTCTAGACACAGTATGTATTGCCAGAACTTCAATCTCAGTACCTATAATTAGGCTTTTATATCTATCATCAGGCATATAAATAAAGTGACTGCTATTCTAATAAAGACAGTAACTTAAAACTTACTCAAGTTAGGACAAAATTCAACCATGTTTATTTAGCAGTTTAGGCGCTCATTTAAGGTCCAACAGTTTTAAGTTTGCAGTTTTTTAAAGTACATTAATTGAGGTCAGAATTTCTCTTTTCCTGTCATAGTACTTCCCTTGGTTAACATGAATCACATTTTGTAAGAGTTGGAGTGAAGTCTGAAAAAGTATAAATCAAACTAAATGAACACTTCAGTGTAGTGAAGACAATGTCTTTGGAATTAACTTTTTACCATAGAGCTCTTTTTAATGAGCTCTTTCATATTATTTTAAAGTTGTCATCATTCAGGCAGTAGAGTAAGTCTATTAAGATTTAGACTATTATAAATTATATATTATAAAGAAATCAGATAAAAACATTTAAATTAGTTTTCCCTCATTAAATATAAGATTATTGAAAATTGATATGCTGAAGTCTGTGTTTTTGATGCAATGCCATGCCATCAACAAGGTGACACAAGATTTATATTTCGTGTAGTGTGCCTTTTTTTTTCATAATTTTAAATTGCTTTTTCAGAAGCATCAAATTGCATCAAACGATTTACATGCTGTTATATTTATTTTATCAAGAGATTTTTCAGCAAGTGATCAGTGCTTCTATCTTAGCTCCTGAGCTCCAAGAAAAACAAGATTCCAACTTTCACTCAAACTAATCATGGAGATGCCATCTGTTTCAGTAGTAGACAAAAATAAGTTTGTTCTAGACTGAACTTCAGTAATGGGGGTATTTTTGACGTGATTTGCTTAGTGAAGTCATCATAAGGTAAATGATGAATAGAGAAGATAGATTAGTATTTTCTAAATTATTTAAATTTTTTGTTTGTTTTCCATATATATACTATACAAAAACTAAATTTAGGCCCAAAGCCTTCTTGGCAAATACACCATTTTGTCCGTTTTTAAAAGAAAATATTAGAAATCCCTTTTATTTGTGTTGTTGCTTTTGTTTAGCCATGAATGTATCTCCTATGAATAGTATTGATCTAAGAAGAGTGTAAGAATAGCTTTTATTTCGTCAAACTGAAAGACTCATAAATCTGCAGGAATGGAATTCAGTTTGAAAAAGTACAAACTAAACAAAAGCCTATGTGAAAGGAAGACACTGCAGAGAAACCTGACATTTTTGCAAAACCATTTAATTTGTGAGGATGTGGAATTAAAGTCCTGTGTATACACAGATTATTTATTTATTGTGATCACCTAATCTTTGAGCAGACATTAATTGTATGTTCTGCTAGTCTGGTTTTTGAATATTGTAGATAATTTTTAGTAGTGTTGGCAGAGAGTCTGAGGAGACATATAAGAGTTGACATTTGCTTCTATGGACACTTTGCAGTCTCAGAACACTGTGTCTGTGTAGATGTGTGCAAAAGACACTCTGAATGTTTTCATGCAATTATAAAATAATAAGATTTTTGGGTCACTTAGGTTTTATAATATAAAATTAATATAATTTTAGAAAATCAATTCAAATACACACATGTATGAAATAAAATTGGAAACTTCAGAAGATTATCATGCTTGGGTTTTTTAAAAATATAGGCAAGCTATTGAAGATGTTCAAGATTGGTGCAGCTAATTATTCTTCCGTGGGTAGATTGTATTATGTGTTTAAAACACTGATGTGGGACATGCTATTTAATATAAACTGCCTAAAAGTAAATACATTACAGGTGAATTCTTAAACTAAATCAAATTGGTAAGTCAGATAACATTTTAACAAAGTAATCCTATTAAATATCTGTGTCATGCTTTAATGATTTATTACATGATTATTTACTGAATAGAAAAGAAGACTTGAATTCTAAGAGAGGAGGTAAGGTTTAATGAGGAGATTGAAGTGCGAGATTTGTTTCTGTTAAGCCAACTATAGACAATTACTCTTTACAGTCTCAAGTTAATAAGATTATTTCAATGTTACTGCATTTCTGTTACAACAGAAATTCACTAATGAAAGTTATTTACAAACAGAGCAGAATAGCCTGGAAAACTTTGAAAAGAAGAATGCTTAAAACATTTTTCAGACATATGTAATGCTCTAAATCAATGATCCATAGATCTACTAGTCTGTATTAAAATGAGCAGTTGTGTGTACACCTCTGGCATGACTTTGTGCTGCAGCTGTTAAATGTCCATGTTATTGGCAGGTTTATTGGGTGTGTAATTATTATTACTGCCATATGTTACACTCTCACTTCCTGTGATAATGAAAACTGCATTCTCTGCTGATCTTACTTGTAGTTGTAGAATTTTATGTCATTAATGCCTTTACCAGAAATCTAAGAAAAGACAGAAATAAGTTTTTAAGAGGACTTCAGGCATCTGAAGTAATTCTTTCCACTTGGCATGAATCTTAATTCCAGCATTGCATAAGAATATGTCAGATTAAACATTCCTTGCACTTCAGAAACAGTGTCATTTTCAGGTGAAGCAGGCTGACAGTTATTTGAGAAATACCAGTGTAATCAGTGTGTGTAAGAGTTTGCACACATTGTAACGTGTGATGCTTAACCAGCAGTATTAGCAGTTAAGTTCCTAGAAGTTTTGTTCTAGAATTTTGATGAGTTTTGTCATTAAATATGTGCAAGTGCTGCATATAAGGCTTGCTTTGCAAAGCTCTAGCAGCAAATGTGCACAGTATGTCATGGAGAGCTTACAGAACTCTGAAGACCCATCACAGCAATACATTTAAATAAGATTAGTTTTGTCCTTTTTTTTCACTTAAACTCCTTTAAAGCAGGTAGTTAAATTATTTATTATGAGAGGTGGGGATTTATATACAGTTCTGGTTTGTATTTCTATTTTGAAAGAGCAATTCTGATATTTTTTCATGAGACTGGTTATGAAAGCATTAAAGGACAAAAATCTTCATATGCAATACTAGGTGAATCAAATGTATTTCTTGAAATCTTGCCTTTAAATAAAAAATTAAAAGTTTACTTCAGCTGCAAAGCAAAAAACTCCCAAAAAATGAAAATGTAAGTGGGAAATAAAAAATAGGAATATGAAGAGAAAGAGGAGGGGAAAAAAAAGAAATTCTGTTAAGTATTTGAAAACACAAAATTCAGCTTCTTTTATTACACATACCATTGCACAGTGCCAAATATAAAGCTAACATAAAAAATATTTTGGGATATTGTGTAAACATGATATTTTGGCTGTTTCTTATACCTACTCCAAATAAATATATTGGTTCAGGTTTACAGAATATTATTACAGGAAGTGCTTTGTAAATTTCAGATAATTTTCTTTTGCAAGTTCTATTCTTAAATTTTATTTTTAAGGTGGGAAGAAAAGAGCATTACTAAAAATCTGAAGATTGTGCAAAATATTTTCTAAGATTTCCTGTCATTGCAGATGATAATATATTAATATACAGAGGCAGTTTTTTGCACATCTGAATAGCACTGACAACTACGATTTTTCTTGTCCAGGTTAGCAAGTAAATGTTAAAATTCTGACTACTTGTGTAACTTGAAAAATAAGACTTATAAAAACTTAGAAAGTCCTAGAAAGTGTAATTGATTCTGCTAATGTCTCAAAGTGAATGTAGCATTTCTGATGGTCATCTCTGAATAGAATAGAAATCACTGAGGTTGGAAGATACATTCAAGATGATCCACCCAGCACTGTCCCCCCTAAACCACTGAACCATCACCAGTGCCCCATCCAGATGCCTCCTGCACAGCTCTGGGATGGTGACTCCACCATATCCCTGGACTATTCCAATCTATTCCAATGCCTGACCACCCTGACATGGAAAACAATTTTTTCTAGTGTCTCATCTGAATCTCCCTTGTTTCAATTTAAGGCCATTTCCTCTGGTCCTCTCGCTGCAGGCGCTGTAGAAGAAACCAGCCCCACCTCACTATAGCCTCCTTTCAGGTGGTTGTAGAGAGTGATGAGATCCCACCTGAGCTTCTTCTCCTCCAGACTAAGCAAACCCAGCTCCTACAATCATTCCTTACAAAACATGTACCCTAGTAAAGGATCTCTCTGAATCGCCCTTTCGTTAAGCCTCTGGTTTCCCAAATATTCTATAGCTTCCCTGCGTCATTCCTTACAAGACATTTCAATCTTAGTGTCACTGCACCTGGGTGGCAGCTACCAATTATTGCTTCCTGGCTTACCTTGTAAAAACAGTTGCTCAGTTATCTTTTGTCACTCAGGACCTTTGAAGAGTAAGAACTCCCTTTTTGCAGACAATCCTGCTACTTTTTCTGCCCCTTTCCTTTTAGTCTTGCCAGTTATGAAGTCCCTTCAGTGCCTGAAGAGATTGACATTCACAACCTACCTGTGCCGTCATTTTCCTGAAACTCACTTGCAATTGCTTTTCTTGCTATACATATACTATGCTTGCTCTGGTTTAAAAATTATAGAGCAGTGACAACTACTATCTTCAGTATTTGCTTGAAGGTTTTCTCTTAAAAGAGATTAGTGTCTGTATTTAGTCTGATATATAATTTCCTTCATTTTGGCAGATGAATTTTATAGTAGGATTTCAAAGGTAAGGCTGTTTTATAGATAACTTTTTGTAATATTTAGAAAGCTGTAAGGACTTGCATTTAGAGTCTGCGAGAAAAATATTGAAGGGTGGTTCAGATCTGTATTAATTTTTTGCTTCGTCATTTACTATTTCGTATTCTAATCAATTCTGATTATTTAACTTCCCTAAAAATGTGCTTCTGTGTACTAAAAAAGTACTTCTGTAGTTTTAAACTGTGTTTTTAGAACACTTCTGTATTCTAAAAAATACTTCTGACTAAAAATAGGATTTTTGTGTAACTAAAATTAACTTGGAAATTTTTTATTTTTATAATTGTTAAAAATTTTTATAGTTTATTAAAATTTACTATTTAGTTGTAGTTCAGTTTCTTGCTTTTTTGATTAAACTCTGTCTTAATTTAGATTCAAACTATATGCTAGCATCTGCTTAATGAAAAATATTGGAATCAAATACTGTGCATATTATTATAGTATAAAGAGTTGATTTGAAATGTTAAATTTGGTGTAGAAAATTTTCAAAAATTTTTTTTATGAAGTCCTTCATCAATGCTGGCAAAGCAGTGTGAGAGATCCTCTCATTGCTGTACATCTAATGCAATTTGCTTACTGTCTTACTATTTTCGAAAGATGGTAATAAACCAGATATTTCATAATTACTTAAAAATACTGTGTCTTGTGTGACCAGCAGAATGCTCCTGCCTTGCCCAAAATTAGAAATATTTCTTAAAACAGAGTATTTGCCAGTTATCTTTTTTGAACAAGCATTGAACACGATATCTGGCTTAATTATTGTCTGCAGGAATTGCATGATGTTGTCAACTTGGAAGTTCTCAGCAGAACCATGTGGGGGAAAAAGAGTTGTCTATGAATTGTCTGAGTGGTGGATTACTCTCTTTTTCAGTGACCATGTTTCAATATTGTAAGAATCCAAGCTCTAGATTTGATCCTGCCAGAGCTTGGTCCATTCCAGCATGTTAGCTACATGAAACAAATGGAGCGTTTACCTAAAGTCTAAGACCTGCAAACTGTGGATTTTATTTATTTCTGTACATTTTCTGTATAAGCAGAGAAGATTTTTTGTAACCTTTGCATCAGTGAAATAGATTCATTCTGTGTTGTGTGTCTGCTGGGATAAGTGTTTTCAGTAATGGTATTAAAAAGGCATTCTGTTTCCCTGGGAGAGGAGAAGTGAGGTGCTGTTGTAGTACCTGAAGACTCCCTCACAGATATAAGGTAGTGCAAAAAGCTGAAAAGCATTAGCTGGGGGATTCTTGGAATCCAACAGCACAATAGAAAAACCTGTCTGAATTCTGGACATCTTCTGTGTTTGTAACAGGTACTGGTAGAAAAAAAAATTAAAACTGCTTTGTTATCTGCATTGGAGTAATTTTATCCAATGGGTATCCAAACATGGCGATAATGAAGAATCTGTACTGTTCTTGTTTTCCTTCAGTGACTCTTTTTTTTTTTTACGTTTCCAGGTATTATTCGTTCCCTTAGTGTATTTCTCTGTATCACACTACATGTTTTTTTAAATTTTAACCCTTTCATAAATCCCCACAAGAGACATGTGTTTGTGAGGAGCAGCACAGGTGCATTATTCCATCCTGCATCCTTTACCCCTGACTTCAGTATAAATGGTTCTATTGCTATCTTATTGCATAATAGTTTCATACACAAATAACTTTCTCATCTGATGTAGGGTGGTGTTTTTCAGTACCTTATATCAATTAGTTGCAGTCTCAATTCTTTACTTGGCAACCTGAAATGATATCTTAAACATCTTAATGTGGTCCACTATAAATTGCTTTGGAACTATTCAGAATTCTTTTGCTGGAATCTAAGTTGTCATTGCTGCTAAGGTCTCAAACTTCTGTTTCTTTTAGTACATCTCTGCACCAGGTATTTTTGGCTGACTTAGTAGTTCCTAAAATACAGTCAGATCGTTTGTTTTCTTAAAGGCATGTTGGTACCTTTGCTGCAACCACAGGAAGCTTTAGCCTTCATTTAGGCCATACAGTGGAACTTGGAATTACTACCCTGTGCTTTTTATACTTTCTGCTTTTTTTAGCCAGTGAGGGCATGGCTTGCTAACATTGTGCATGCTTCCAGCTATTGTTCCTTTTTCTGTTCATCTATATGCTATGGCAACAAGTAAAATAAGAAAATAAGAGGACATGACAATAGAATTTAGCTTGATTCTTTGGTTTTGTTTTTTGTAGAAACATCAAGTGTTTGAATTCCAAAACACTTTCCAGTGCTTAGCAGTGTTTAACTTTTCAAGCCAGAATTAATGTTTATCTTGCATTAATATATGAATTGTTTTTCTGAAGAATTTGGCCAAACAAAATTATGCTTTCTATCCACTGCAGGAGATGGAAGATCATTAGCACTTGTTTTGGGAGCACCCTGATTTGACGTTTTTTCCAATAGATTGGAATTGTGATTATGATCATCTCAACAACTATGCCATTGTGATTTACCTGTTTCCCATTTTCAAATAACTCATCTGACCTTGACATCTTCTAAAAGTATTTTGCATGCACTTTGACAAATTCCAAATGAACTTTTCGGCACTTTACACTTCTCAAACTGCCTTCTCATTAATACCTTTTATATATTATTCTGGAACTATTTTTCCAGAACTATGGTGCTCAATCTACTCCACAATGTTACTGTTAATTCCAGAAATTACTCAAGTGGCCTTTACAGAATTTCAGAAACTTCTTGAAGAGGCTGAAATTCCCAAGTATTGTGAAATCTGTTTTTTTTTTTTTTATTTTTCCTAATAGGATGCAGCACAGATGCCAAGAAATCTGAAGAGCAATCTGCATCTGCAAGTGAAGAACTTTATCCTTTCTGCAGGGAGCCCAGTTATTTTGAAATCCCTACTAAAGAATGCCAGCAAGCTTCACAGGTAGCAGAGAGCACTATTCATGAAATTCCCACAAAAGATACCCAAAGCTCCCACGCAGCAGCTTCAGGGCACGCTTCCTTTACCATTGAATTTGATGACAACACTCCAGGAAAAGTAAAGATCAAAGATCATGTGACAAAATTCACGTCGGAGCAGCGTCACAAGTCAAAGAAACCTTCTTCCTCCGGCGGTCAGGACCTGCCGGGGCTCCAGACGGTGATGATGGCTGCTGAGAGCAAAGTGGCAGATTGGCTTGCGCAGAACAATCCTCCGAGAATGATATGGGAGCCAACGGAGGAGGACTCCAAAAGTATTAAGAGTGATGTTCCAGTGTACTTGAAAAGGCTGAAAGGTAAAGTGAATAATTGCAGCTATGCTTAGCTCTGAAAGCAGCGATTCCTGGCCAGCATGCAGAGGATCCCTGAGCCCGTGTGGAGTTCAGATCAAATCACAGATACTCCACATGGGTGCAAGGATCTGGGCTGGGAAATTTTATTGCTGAATTAAGAGCATAAGAAACCAAATGCTGAATCACTTTACAATCAATATGCTAATTGGAGATGTTCTAGTGTTAATTGGAGATGTTCTAATGTGGCTGAAAACATCAGGTGTTTAAACAATGATCTTGAAAAAGAAAAGGAAGAAACCCAAAATTTAGTTAAATTTTATATATCTCACTTTTTCTCATGAAGTACTTTAAAAACATGAATTACTTTTTAGAATAAAAGCTCTGAAGTTCATTTGTTTATGCTTTTAGCAACTCTTTCGATAGCATATCTTCTGTGATTATTTGTGTGTTCTAAGAAAATAATTTATGACAAAGAATGCATCATATACTCATTCTGCTTATATGGATCATGTTTGGTGGAGTCAAGTTTGAGTCAGGAATCGGACATAAAGGAGGAACTTCAATTTTTATGCTCAGCTTGTGGACTATTGTATTCAAATAAGTGCTGCTGATGAATGGAGTTCCAGGTGATAATGCATGCTAATTTATTGCAGACAGTTACATTTCAAATGAATTTAAATAAAATGTAACACATGACAAGTGTACTTTCTCTTGAGTGTCACTTAACGGAATAGAGAAGCAGATAGTTTTGATGTTCAGATGAAGATTCCAGTACCATTCAAACTTTCATACTGAAAACTTCTGATGAACTTTTTCAAGTCTTTCTTATTTTCCACTTTTAATTTCAGCTGGTTAACCCTACAATTCTCATTTTCCTTGGCTCTGCAACATTATCATGTCTAGTTCATAAACCAGCTGGGACTGGGTACAACAGTCTTTGCCTTATTGATGAAAAGTCTTCTTTTTAAGGCTGATCCTTTCAAATTTAACTAAAAATAAAATTCTGAAAGCAGAATTAGATTAATGTGCCATCATAAAGATAATGGTATATTATTTCTTCCAGTGTAAATCACATTCATGTAAACGTATTATATTCATGAACATTCTTTAACATACTAGCTGTGACACTTTGATAAATACAAGGGGCTTTGTTTATAAACCTTTTCCTGACAGAAACTTCTCAAAGTCTGATTAATTTTCATCTGAAACAGGTGTAAGTTATGGGATGCATATGGCCATAATAAATATCTGAATTTTGTAATCTTCTATGGCCTGTTTGTATTCTCATTCATTGGTTTTATTTTTAGATAGTAAATATACCTATGTGCTTTGAAAGTTTTTTTTTTTGACTCAAAGCTTTTTTTTCTCCTCAACTTTTTCTTATTGTATTCTGTACTGAAGTCCCACTGCTAATATTAGACTATATGACTTTCACTGTGATGTTGATACTGCTTTATTATTATTTGGAAATATATGAATCATCACAGAATTTTTGTAGGCACTCTTTTAACAAGTAGAAAACAGGAGTGTAAGTTAGGATTTCAGCTGTGTTTTCAGTGGTGTTACCCTAATAAATAAGATCAGCCAATATGTAATTACTTACTGTTTAACTGAATAGTAGCTGCATATCCTATTTAAATGAGAAAACCTTAAAAAACCTATTGAGAATCAAAAATACAGAAATTGGACATTATATAAATATATTTAATATATATATAAAAGTAAATAAATAAATATATATAAGCAGAATTTGATCTAAAGGAGTTCAGAGAGGATGAGAGTGTTCCTTCCCAGGTACTGAGCTAACACTTAGGAGTATTGATACTTTCATTGTACATGAGGTTGCTCTATGTTAAATACACTTACTATGTGTAAGTATCCAGCCTTTGTACATTTTCAGGTATCATTGCAAAGTACATCTTTAGTTGTATGTGTGATTTATGAAATATGTAATCCTTATTCATAGATCTCAGAGTAGTTCATGGAATGAATAAGTAATAACAACCATTTTACTTGCACACATCAGATGCTGAGCAGAGTGAATTATGGAAAAACTCATTGCTCTTCTTGGAAAGAGTAATAAAGAATTCAGTCCAAGTTTAAGTAGACATTTCTCATGATAAACTGTTGTAAATGTGAGAGGAATCCAGCAATATGAACTGTGGCTCTCTTTCCACTGTCGGAAGGACTTTATTAAGGTTTTCTTTTTCCTCTTAACCCTGCCTGGAATGTGTCAGTAGTCATTTATAATGAACTGGCTCTGTAACAAAATTGATATAATTCGAAAACATACTATAGTACAGCTGGTAAAATGCTGGCTTTTGTATGTCACTGATAAGTATTCACAGATGAGAATATTGGGGAAAGGATACTTCAAATGCACTGCTGTTACTGATCAGCTTTGAAAATGTTTCATTGTTTGACTTGTAGCAAGTTGATTTTATTTCCAGGAACTGTACCAAATTTGCAGAGCCAGGTACTGGAAGCTGTTGGAGTTTAAACAGAAATCCACTTTGAAATAATTTCCTTCCTAGTTTGCTGTTTGGGTTTTTTTGTGGATGTTGTGGTCTTTCTTTGTTTCACAGTGCTGTATCTTGTTTTGCTTTGCTTGTAGGGAATAAGCATGATGATGGCACACAAAGTGATTCAGAAAATATTGGTGCACACCGGCACTACAGTAAACGGGCAGCACTGGAAGAGCACTTAAGGCACCATCATACAGAGCTGAAAAAGTCACACCAGAAAGTCCATTCCACAGAAAAGCAGCAAGAGCAAGCTGGTTTGAGTCAGACTGCCTTTATGATTGAGTTTTTTGATGAAGACCATCCTCGCAAGAGACGTTCTTACTCTTTTTCTCAGAATGTAGGAGCTCTATGCCCAGAATCTCCATCTCCAACATCTCATGCACGAGCTGAAAGAGTGAAACCTGCATCAGGAGAGAAAGTCCCTTCACCTGTGCAAGCTAGCTCCTCACATCACAGAGCAGTACATGGTGTTCATGCCAAACTTCTAAGCCAGAAATCAGAAGAATCCTCTGCTGCGTTGCCTGCCTTACAAGCTGCATTGTTAAGGAGTTCAGGAAGCCTTGGCCATAGGCCTAATCAGAACCAGGAGATGGACAAAAAGTTGAAGAGCCAACATATTTCTGCTGCTAGTGAAAAGGACAATGAGGATGACCAGAGCGACAAAGGTACTTACACTATTGAGTTGGAAAATCCCAATCCTGAAGAAGTGGAAGCCCGCAAAATGATTGACAAGGTGAGAAACCTGAAATGCATTCTGATGTTACGAGTTTTATGGGATGTGTGGGCAGCTGTCTACCCCTTCAGTTCTGCTTATTAAAGCTGCTGCAATAACACAAGTTTTTAAACCAGTCTATAATGTTGAAATATGAAATGTCATAAGAGTAGCAGCAGGCATTTGGCTAAACATTATTCCTTTTTGCATACTGCTGTTGTCTTAAAGTTTGGTAGTTTTAATGTGTTTCCAAAAGATTTCAGTACCAGGCACCAAAAATCATTTAACCATAAAAAATACCAGGCACCAAAAGATCATTTAACTGGTACTTTTATGAGGGTGGTTCTTGTGGAAATACTCAATTGTTCTTGAAAGCTATCATCTCTAGTTTTCATTACATAAATTGGTTCCATCCAAATTATTATATAGATATAGATTGCAAATTATTTCTATACTTATTTAAAAAGTGTATTCAGTAACAGTGACTTAAACTTCAGTGTCAGCTATAAAGAGTAAGTATGAAAATGCTTTGATTTTCCAAATGTGTTTATATGATAGCAATGCAAATTTCCTAGTTTGCTTATGGGTAACCATAGAAATATCAATAACAATAAAAATTGTATTTGCAGTTTAAAAACTGTATTGAATAACTGTTCTTTGGATTCAACAGGAAGATATGGATAGCAAAAGCTATGTTTAATCATGTTACTTAACATGAATTGAAATAGATTTTTTTTCTGGTTTTCTTGTGTTTTCCTAGGTAATCTGTCATGGTAGAATGCCTGCATCTGATTCTAGGCTAGGGTTTTGCTAATTTAACAGTAAATTTATCACTTACTTGTTTTAGGATTATGTAAGGATTTATTTGCATGTCCCAAACTTTCCAGAGCTGAACAAATACATTAATAATTTAGAATTAATTTTGGCTAGTGTTGAAAACTGTGTTTTGCAAGACAAGCTAGCTTCACTTGTTTGATTTTGTAAAAAAAATCATGAAGTAGCGGGGAAAAGGGACATTTATTATAGATGGTTTCCTTTTAAAAAAGGTGTTTATGGAGCATTTGGCGACAGGGATTAAAGTGAAGGGTGTCACCTTCAATAAAACAATAAAGATAGTAGTTTCACCTCTTATGGATTCTGAAACGGAAGTTTTTGACTTCTTTGAATCAATGTTTAAAAAACAAATGGGAACTAAAAGCATTCCAAATGAAGCAAGTAAAGAATGACAAATTTCTACATTTATTTTTAAATTATAAAACTTCAACTAAATTGCATCAGAAAATTTGTAATTCGAGTTTTAGCTAAATATAGTAGTTCAACAGGATTTTTGGAAACTACACCAAGTAATGACTATTTTCTATTTGAAAGTAGATAATTTATGTACTTGATAAAAATGTTAATTCTGTCTAATATTTATAATCATAGAGTATGCTGCGTTGGAAGGGACCCATTAAGTTCATTGAGTCAAACTCTCAGCCCTACACAGTGCATTCCAAGAATGACACCACGTGCCTGAGAGTGTTAATAAAATTTCAGCTTTTTTGTGGCCTTCAGTACCCATTCAAGATTATCTAAAGTCAGTTTTTTGTTTGAAGCAAATCTCTCCTGTTACAGGAGATATTCAGGAAGAGGAAGTGAGTGGAAGCCTTAAGAATGATAGTAAAGTATTGCTTAATAATCTTAGTGTTATATAACAGCTTTTGGGTATCATAAATTTCCCTTACTGCTAACTTTAAAGGTGTCACCACTAGGTATTAAAGATTTACTATGAAGCAAAGCAGAGATGTTTTTTCTTCAAGGTCTTCTGTATCATTTCACTTCGTATCTGTGTTGAAATCTTATCAACAGTATATTTTACACCCAGTTCAAAGAGCCCTGCTATGCAATTCTTATTTGATTTGATAATATGAAGTAGTATATTACTATTTTTATGAAGTGCAGAAAAACAGCCAATGAAGAAAATCTAAACCAAATGGAAGCCAAAATTTTGTCCTCCAGCTGAGCTCAGCTTTGCTTCCCTCCTATTTTAAATTGCTAATGCTTTGGATAATCTTTGCCAAAGGGGGATAAGTGAGGTATAAGACAAGGACTTCGTTAGCCTGTTGACTCCTGTGCTTCTTTGTTGAGGATTTAAGAGAATTATTGGTATACATCTTAAGAATTATTTCCATATAACCACTCTTTCATTGTTGGCAAGTCATTCCTTTTTCTGAGTAGTTACTGTGCCTGCCCAATTGAGTAATTTAAGGGTGTCCCTTGAGTCCAAAGTTTAATTGAAATTCAAGAGTTTAATTTGCTAGGATTGGGATAAAAATGCACTACAAATAGCAAGGATCACTGTCTAAAGCATTTGCACAAATAATGCATTCTTCTGAGTAGCAATTTACATTAGAATGGTGCTAAAATCTGTGTGTGGTCTACCTGAAAAATTTTAAATGGAATAAAGTACTTCTGGATTTGGATATTTTCTCCCTTTTATTGGAGGAAAGGATGAGAATGACCAAAATATCCAAAGATTACTCCCAAGTGTGACTCATTCTTAGCCTTCGCCTTAATTTTCTCTGAAAAGGAACATAAGAGCAAACCACAAATGCAAGAGTAGTATTAACTTGTAAAAAAATCAATATGAGATTATTAATGCTTCTTTACATTAAGAATCCAAGAGAAACATGCAGGAAGTCAAAGTTAAAATTCTCAGAAAAAAAAAATTAAAATACCCATGTCTCTGTGTAATTCTAAGAAAAGGGGAGTAAAAATGTTGAGCTGTATTACTTCCTTCAAAAGTAGTATTTTTGCTTAGTGTAGACTTTTGCTGAAGGGTCAAGGAAATAGTCTGAAGATGAATAGATGCTTGTGTGAAATTGTTTTTAAAAGTCAGAAACTATGCTGTCCTGCTTATTCAGCATCTTTATTTCATTTAGATTGCTAAGGATACAGTTCTTCCTCTGGTGCTCTTTCAGCCTCTAAGAAAAAAGTATTGTCACTCTAGTAGAAAAGGAGTGGAATAGCAAATGACAGAACCTTTATTTCTCAACCATTTTAAAACCTGACTTTTGAGAAGAAAGTGTGAGAAAAATGTATTATCAGAAAGGAGGAAAGAGGAAAACATTTCATAAGTAACAGACAAAAGCTTTTTAATTTTGATTCTTTTCCCTAACAGAGAGGGTAATCACATATCTGCAGTCATGACTGTCTTGGGGTGAATGTCTTCTACTTACCTAAAATGCAAGTTTTCAAGTACATTATCACCTGTGTCTTATACAACTTTCAAAGATTAAAAAAAAATATTTTAAGATTAAAAAATACAGTACATATGCACATAGTTGTCAATTGTAAATGTTGAAAGATGATGCAAGTTGAAATTTATGGTTGTGTCTTTATGTTCTTTATTAATAGAGAATACTTGAAAAATAACACTAAATTTTGCTTCCTAAAAGTCCTTTCTGTAGTCAATCATATTTCTGCATCCAGGTGTTCAAATGTCACTTAAATTCCTAGAGAAGTATGAATTTGTTAGTAGGCTAAGGTTTATAAAATAAATATATTAATAACATGAGAAGAAAAACAGATGATGGATCTCTTTTTATACTTGTAGAGCTCTTTTTAAAATTGCCACTGAGAGAAATTTTATCAACGTGGTAAGAAAGCAAGCTGCTGTTGTATACCACAAGGCCCACCTTGAACATATGTGTCATAAAATATCCTCTACTCAAATAGCATCAGAAAGACAACTTTTTCTAGCAGAATAATGGTCTCATTCTTGCAGCTAACAGCCTAGTACAAAATGAAAGAAATTCAGGATCTTGATTTAATTTAGAACATGTTTTCAGTGTTAAGTTTACCATATAAAATACACGACTAAATGGGGCACAGTTGTAGGATTTGTTTTTCCTCCACATCCAGCCTTTATGCTCTTTAGATGGATTCAATGCTTTCTTCTATTAACACTTAGCAATTGCTTTCTTATTATCTCTGAGTTGTAAATTTTCTATCCATTTAATGTTTCTTAAATAAATCAGTCTAATAGAACAAAGTTGTTCTCAGCAGTCATATCACATTAAAAAATCTTCATAGGCCACAGAAAAGGTAAGTCTGTCAGTGGATGAAAGAATTTTAAATGATGGTTCTGCAGTTCATCTTCCTTTTTTGTAGATGTAAAGAGACCAAATTATCATGCTAATGACTTTCCTTTTTCAATAAAGCAAAGTACTGCCAGTAATAAATATTAATAAATGAATGTGCAAATAATTCTCCATGTGTTTGGAATATTAAATACTTTGGGGCTATTGCAGTAAATAAAAAGCGACTCAATGGGTTTTTTGCAAGTTCTTTGGGGGGTTTTCTTCAGGGCTCTCTTTCTTTTTGTTTTGTGTAGGGCTTTTCGTGGTCTTTCTTCTTCAGCCAGTTTCATTTTAGGGTATTTAAAAATTGAAATATTTTGTAAAACTTACTATAGCAGATGTAAGCTCTTCTATACATGTGTGGGAAGGGATGGAATAGAATTGAGGCTATATGAGTGTTTCAAGTCCTGTCAGATAATCAGGAAATCCAGAATATTATAGCAGTTCATATGCATATGGAAACATTTGGCTTAAAGTTTTCTTTGGTCCCCAAATTTTTTACTTGATTTATGTTATTTTAATTTACATTTCTTAAAAGATAATTGATTTTTTTTCATCAGCAAAGTAAATTTAGATCGCAAATTCAACTGATTCATACTGATTCCAATTAGAAGACTTGAAAAAAATGTATGAAAATCAAGCCTCAATCCATCCTGACACCTTCATAAAGACTTACTGTGACCATGTAATGTTTTTGTTTTCAGTGCAAGCTCCATATTCTAGATGTTTTGAAGTCTTTATTTATGTAGATAGACAGGTCCTAACCGTAATGATCTTGTTTTTAATGTGCAGTCTATCACCTTGAATTTTATTTGATTACATACTGTTCAATGAGTATACATAAAGTCTTACTCTATTGACACAATCCTGAGAGAGAATCTTCTTTCCTCTTTAAAATTT